GAAAACAGTTATGCAATGTATGATTAGAATGATAAAAATATTCATGCCAGTTAGCCTTCCCAGGAATCCAGTCTGATGAAACAGGGTAAGATACAAAAATATTTTATGCATTTTATTCACAGTTTCATGACAAAGACTAGAACCAACTTAAATATACTATAGAAATAATTGAATGTACAGTGACACATCTACTAGAATAGATTTTATTAGTTTGCCTCCATTGCAATTTGCTTTTCTATTATATAATTATGTAAAAACTTAGAGATATGGGGAAAAGTGCCACATGAGAATATACTAAACCATATTTGAGAATTAGAATTAGATTTTTTTGTTGTGTTTTACAAACTTTCTGCGAAAACTCTATTACTTTTATGATACAAAATGTTACTTCAGAAAGAGAAAAATCTTCACTGAGTGTACAAGATTATATGAGTGAATTATGGGAGGAAATAATGTGAGTGAAAACAAAGAAAGGGTTTTTTTATATATATTAGAAAAGAATTCAATGGAAAAATCAGGAGGGATGATACTGGCTGGAAGACTCCTGCTGGGTCACACCATGTGCCAGGCTGATGTTTTTGTGGCTTTTGTCTTTTTTTTTTTAGGCTCACATGATGCTCTCATAGTTGGTAAGTTTTGTGAAGGGTTTGCTGAGAAATTCTAGCACCTTCAACAGTAAGTATCTACTTCCAGTGAATTGTTAGCATCCAGGGGTGCTGGGTTCATTGAAGATCAGAAGATCAGAACACAGAGATAGCAAGAAGTAGGTTTATTGCAAAAGCAATAGAGATACAAAGATAGACTTCTTCAAAGAGAAGGGGCCCCAGGACTAGGAATCCAGTGGAGAAGTTTTGGCCTGTTTAAGACCTCTGGAATTTCCTCCTTTTCTCCCCTGTCCACTCTCTCCTCACTATTATTGATTGGAGCCCCCCTCCCTGTCCATGCATCTGTTTTAGTTTTTCTATTGGATCCCCACTTAGGAGCATGAGTACATAATGTTTGTCTGATTGGTGCCCTGCTTGTGTTCACAAGCCTTTTGGCCAAACAGGAAGTTGACCTCATCAGAAGAACCTCTCCATGCTCCTTTGTTCTGCTCATGACCTCCTCACTCACCATCTTGCCCCGGCTGCCTAAGCCTTTCTATATCTCCCTCAGAATGAAATGCAAAAAGATAAAGTATCTTGTATTATGAATTGAAATTAAAGTGAGAATAATGATGCATTTAGGTCAGGGTGTGGTGAAACTGGCATTCTTATATACATAGAGTATCCTCCTTTCTGGATGGAACTTGAAAGCATTATGTTAAGTGAAATAAACCAAACTCAGAACACCAAGGGTCACATGTTTTCTCTTAGATGTGGAAGATAGGAAAAAAGAAAAGAAAAGCAAAAACAGAGGTGGATCTCATGAAAATAGAAGGAAGAACAACCAATAGAGCAGAAGAAAGGGACCAGGGGAGGGAGGAGAGGAGGAGAAGGGGAAATACTAGGGAAGAATATTGACCAAATTATCCTGTTACATCCTGTGCATATGTACAAATTTGTAACAATGCATCCTAGTGTTAAAAACATGAACCAATAAAAATATGGAAAAAAGAAAGCCCCAAAATGAAAGACATTTTAAAAAGTTTTTGTTACAGGGGGTTCTTTGCCGTTAAAATGTCTTTATTTTAATGTGTGGCTGGAGAGGGCAACTTCCTCTTTGCTTTATAACTGGGGAATAGACTTCCACATGGTAATCATGTCGTTTACACAAATTAAAAGCCACAAGACCAGTTTGTTGAGTTTATTTCTGTGCTCTGCTTACGTAGGAACAGTTCTGTAATACAGTTTGTGTCCAGGGGAATTTCTATTTTGTAGAGTAGCCTGTGTCCTTTGTCTTACATGAGAGACAAGTTGGCAGTGCTTGCTGTTTCCTGCCTACTTAAGGGCAGCCGTTGGAGTAAAGTTTACCAAACTTTTCTGCTCGCCCCTTACTATGTATAGTAAGACCAATGCTCTAACTCAAATCCAGGGTAAAGAAGAACTTATTGTTAAATTTAAAAAAAAAAGTCATTGGCAAACTCTAGGGGGACTAGATATTAAGACAGAATATTAAGCCTCTTAAAAAATAAAATTAAAATTTCTATTTATTTATTTATTTATTTTTTACTGTCTAGGCATTTGCTTTGGTATGATCTTCTTCATTTTATCCATCATTGTTCCCAGTTGGATAATTTTTAAGTGCAAGAAAGGGTAAGTACAGCTGTATTCTCCCAGAAAATGTAAACTGTTTTTTGCTCCTCTCAGAAGTCAAAGGAAAATTTTTAAATAAATAAATAAATAAATAAAATAAAAACCTAAACAACAAAAGCACTACTACATAGACAGATGTGATAATTCACATAAAGAAGCCCTGGACACATATAATAGAAAAGTATTTATGCTATAGGAAATACATATGTTACTAAGAATATGGAAAAATCAATAATACAGTATTTTGGGTGCAGTAGCACACACTTGTAATCTAGTGACTTAGGAGGCTGAGGGAGGAGGATCGAAAGTTCAAGGCCAGCCTGGGCACTTAATAAGACCCTGTCTCAAAACAACAACAACAACAAAGAGCTTGGAGTGTAGCTCAGTGGTAGAGCATGCCTAGGATAAATTCTTCAGTATTAGATTAAAAAACAGCATTTTAAGAAAGAAATGTGAAAGAGAAAATAAGGAGGTTTTTAGAAAGGTATTAATGAAACCATTGATGTCCTAGTTTTGCTGAGATATTGCAGACACTGACCGCTAGATGTAGATTCTATTTCTATCTTTTAACTAAGAGTTAGATTGTGTGTTTCTCTGGCACACATATCCCAGGCTGCTTGCATGGAAGAATTGAGATTTTGCATTAAGAAAGAGAGAGAGAGATGGGAAGGAGGAAGGAAGGGAGGAGAGAAGGAGGGGGAGGGGGGAAGAGAGAGGAAGAAAGAAAGAAGGAAGGAAGGAAGGAAGGGAGGGAGGAAGGAAGGAAGGAAGGAAGGGAGGGAGGAAGGAAGGAAGGAAGGAAATCTTTTGTAAAATTCAGTGACTTTCTTTATTGGTATATTTTATAATTATACATTATAGCAGGATTCATTATGTCCATATCTGTGACCATTGAGTTTTTCAACTTGAAGAAAACTTCATAAAGATTATGATCTAAAGAGCAAAACATTTTTGACTGGGAAGTAAACACACAGCTTTTATGCTGGCTATTTTAATTAAAACAATATTAGTGAAATCTGTCAATAAGACCAGTGTTGTAAGGTTGATGAACAAATTCTATACTGAAGAAAAGCAGAGGTTAAAACTCCAAGTGAGTAGTCTTCTATAGCAAATGTTCTTAACAAATGCAGTCTTCTACAACAACCTTTATAGAAATTGGAGTTTGATATTTCACAGAGATGCCAGTAAGGTGGGTTTCTTTTTCAAGTATATTGTCACAGTAAAACCATCTTGCAAACAACCTAGTCGGGAACTCAATTTCATAATAAAATAATCAGTACAGATTTAGATTTAAGCTAAACCCTTATTCTTCCTTAGTAAAGGTATATTTTGAAGCTTGACCTATAAGTATTCTTTGTCCTTTGTTCTTACAAAAAGAAAAAGGGAAGTGGCCTGGTATTGACATTAACAGAAGTCCATTTTTCTAAGTTTCTTATTAAGCACCCTTATCATTTGCATTAATTTTTAAAAAATTTAAGGAAGAATTAAAGAAGGGATTTACTTTTATCACATTATTGATGATTTGCAGTCCTTCTTAATCGTCAGCTTTCTCAGATTCAGAATATCTAATTAATTACTCTGCACTTGGCTCCTCATCTGTATCTTGGGCTGGCTGGGCTCTATTAGCATTTTCTCTTGTCTCCTAGATCGCCATACTCCTCACCATCCTCTCTCTCCAGACTACCCCTGGGAACAGGGACCACCTCTATTTACAGAAAATAATTATTATTTAATGACTTTTTATCTATACTTGTATAGTAGCCCATATTCATACTAAAAACAGTAAAAATTTACATGAATTTTACAAAACCCAATACCATTTATTATCTTCCAAGGAAACATGTATTTTTTTTTTTTTTACAAAACACATTACCATTAATATCTTCTCAAGCAACTCTGTGCAGCACCAAGGCCAAACAATACTGTTATCTCAAAGCAGAGAAAACTTTGAGGTGCAAAGACATTCAGTGGCTTGCTTAAAGTTCTGCAAGTAGGAAGTTTGCCAGGAATTAGTGCTTTTGTCTACATGATTTGACTCATTTTTTGCTATTCCTTTGATGTTAGTTGCACATTTCTGAATTTGATTCTGCATCACTACAATTCAGTACCCAGAATTGTGTACAGTATAAAACTGCAATATTTCCTTTTACTCTTTCAATATACACTCCCTCCTCTACATTTTACTGACTTTGTTCCAGCTCCTCTGGCATATTGAACCCTGCTCTCCTAACTGTGGGTAGTACCTGTGTGTAAAATAGAACATGTTCTTCGGTATAAAAGAAAAGGAAAGAAAAAGGGAAAAGACGTCATTTTTATGGCAAAGTCTGCCCACATCTTGTGGTTAACTTTATTTCCTTATCAAAAATATTTTAGAAATATTGAAACGTATTGTGTTAAGACACAGACACCTAATTATTAACAGTTTTGAATCTTCGGGCAGTATATAGGATGGTTTTACTATGATATCCTAATTGGAGTTTTTACTTAGTATTAAAAAATTCATTTGGTTGTATTTTTCCTTTTAAGCATCTTGTAAAGATATCAGGAACTTGAGGCAAATTACCCCTTAAATCTCAAAATGAAAGTCATTGATTTCCTTTAAAACTGAAAAATATGATTAAGGCAGTTTTCCTAATTTTTTCTTCCTCTGCCAATTAGCAGTAATCCAGATGAAAAGTGTAAAGAAGTGAATATCAGTTTACATCCTCAAGAAGGCAGCTGTGTTCATCCTCAGACTCCGCTAACAAGACAGGAAAACAGCAGGTACCTATCTGCATACTGAGCTCAAAACGTTGGCAACAACTCAGTTATCAAAAATGGAGATAGCATTTGAATAGGATATGACACTAAGCAGGTCATCAATAATAAAGAAGTCAGAAACTACTTCATGAGCTGGAAATGCTTTTATTTATTTATTTTATTCCTGGATTATTGCCATTCCCAGCGATTTTGTGTGATGACTCTGTGGGTGCTGCCCCCAGGCACTGTTTTTTTCAAAGCATTCCTAGATTTTTGTGCATTTGTGCTGTGAACCTTTGAGAAGTAGTCTGTTTTATTTCTTTTCCTGGTAGAATCTAAGCATTTGCAGCCTGTGTGCACCTCCTAGTCCTCCAGTCTTCTCCATGTGCAGGGTCTCTTAAGAATACTCTGAAGACTCACCTTGCCTTTTCCCTGGTTTCTGGCTTTCACTGAATTCTTGGCCTCCTTGAGACTCTCTTATTTCTGCCCTCCACTGGGCTAATTGCCATCCCTAACGCTTCATTCCATCTCCTTAATGCAGCCTTACCACAAAATGTTGTGTGATAAATGTTGGCCCAAGGTTTGGTATGAAAGGGGAAATGATGCCACAACTGAACCTGTCCTATGATGTAATGAACAGCTAAGCAAAAAAAAAAAAAAGCAAAAACTAGCTACTAGACCAAAGATCTGAAAATGACAATCCGTGGGCCAAATCCAATTGGGTATGTAAATAAAGTTTTATTGGCACGGCCATACCCATTCATTTAACTGTTAACTGTGACTGCTTATCCACCTCAACAGAGGTCCAACAGCTGCATCAGAGACCATGTGGCCCACAAAGCCAAAAAAATTTACTAATTGGTCCTTCTGTGGAAGAGTTTGCCCACACCTAAACTGTATCAGACTTGGAGGAATTTCTCACTGGCTATCCTCCACTTTCAGTCTTGGATTTCCCCCTTTCCCCAGGCCTCTCTCTCAATATATTATTCTCCATTTCCTCAGATATTTACTGCATCCCTGGGGTATCTTATTCCAACTCTTGGGCCTCTTGCAAATTTAATGCTCCATCTTTCTGTATCATACAGAGCAATTCATTTGGTCCTGGCTCGCTCTGGCTATTCTAGTAATCCTAATATTTTCTGTATATAGGTCCTCAGGGTGCTTTCAGAAATAATAGTGCCATAAGCCTTAGGTATCCTTGTAGAAAGCAGAAGTAAAATCATCAAATTGATCAGTAAATTTTTTTTTCTTTATGTCCTACCTCTTCTTCACATCAATGTGCATTAAACAAACTTGGCATTTTATATACACACATATGTCAGAAATTCTAAATTAAACAGAGGGCAGTGGAAGAGACCCCAGAAAGAAGTAAGGGGTAGTAAAGGCATTTTATAGTTAACCATATAGTCAAGACATATGTGTAAACAATTCAAATTTTTCTAAACAAAAAGCTTAGAAAATAAATAAACTTTGTCTTTTCTTCTATAATAGAAATAAATTTGCCATGTCCTCTTTTTATTATCTGGCTTTCTAGTCACTTTGCTTATATCTTATAATTTTTTTTTTTAGTTTTAGGTGGACACAATATCTTTATTTCATTTTTATGTGGTGCTGAGGATCAAACCCAGTGCCTCATGCATGCCAGGCAAGCATTCTACCACTGTGCTACAACCTCCCCCCAGCCCTATATCTTATACTTGTTTTTCTTTACTATTTATGAAAGCAAATGAAATATGCATTTTAAAAATTCAGAATTGGAAGTTTACTTTTTAAAACTTTAGTGATCAGTTATTCTGATCTTTCTCAAATGGGTGTTCACAGATGCTTTGGAATTCATGGTTAGTAATACCAAAAGAACGTAGAAGTCAGGAGATGAAAATGGCATGCTGTCCAAGGATTTCTTTTTCTAATGTTATCCCAATAGCTCCAAGAAAAAAATAGCATTATTTCTATATTAACATAAATAAGCACATAAGGGAGAAAAAGGCAAATAAAGAGAGATTTTGAGATAAAATATGGCAAAATATTGTGCTGTCAGGGATGCTTTAAGCTATGCCTCCAAAGTTCTCAGGTGAAGCATTCATTTTTCCTTTAATATCAGGATGGAAAACTTATACAAAATGGATTTTAGGCCAGATAAGCTGTCACTAAGTATAAACAGACAAAACAGCAGATCATAAGAACCATGATCATGTTTACAGATTTTTTAAAAAAAATATTCCACAACATTACTTAAAATATCATTTGATTTAGATTTATTCCTTTCATTACCTGTCTGCAACATTTTCCAACTTTATTCCTGCCTAAGTTCCATTAACTCAGCTCAGAATTCATTCACCTAAGAAACTCTTTTTTTTTTGAGAGAGAGAGAGAGAGAGAGAGAGAGAGAATGTATTTTTTAATATTTATTTTTTAGTTTTTGGCGGATACAACATCTTTGTTTGTATGTGGTGCTGAGGATCGAACCCAGGCCACACGCATGCCAGGCGAGTGCGCTACCGCTTGAGCCACATCCCCAGCCCTCCAAGAAACTCTTAAAGTTAGAAAAAAATATATAAAGTACCTGCAATAAATTCCACTCAGTAGTAGATAGTATTTTTAAGTTCCTTTGCATATTATTTTACATTTGCATGGTGGATATCTTGAGATTGTATTGATTGTACAATAGGAAATCTTGATTTTTTTTCTCCATCAATGAAAACCATTTTTCTCCTATCCTTAAAACTGTACATAAATACATCCCATAGTATTTGATATTCAAGTACTTTTTGCTTATTAACTCTGCTATAATTCATTTGATTGCTCATTTATTTTTCATTTATCAGCTATATAATGTACCATATGTTGTGCTTATATTTTTTCCACAGTAAATCATTAACTTCTTGTGAGTAGAGAGACCTTTTCTTTTTAATTTCCCAAAACCTCTGAGTATACAGTTAATTAAATGAAAAGTGTTCAGTAAATATTTGAAAATTAGTTTATCATAATTTCCTTTTTCCTCAACTCTTTGCACACCATTTTTACATCAAAATACACCTCCAATTGTATACATTGACTGTTGATTGCCTTTTAATAGAAAGGTAAGAGTCCTTAATAATTTTGTATCAAGTATCCTTTTTTAAGATTGGAATTTTTTTAATTTTCCTCTTCCTTTTTATTTTTTAACTAATGCAGAAAGTAAATTTTACATGGCAATGAAGTATCATGTAATGTTTGATATATATGTACATTATGTAATGTTTAAATCAGAGTTAAACATATTTATCTCCTCAAATATTACTCACTTCTTCATGGTTTATTCAAATTTCCCCACATTTTTTAAATTGATGCCTTGTTTGTACATACTGATGGGATTAATTGTTCCATATTCATACATCCACAATATAACAATATAATTTGACCATATCACTCCCTGGCACTTTGCCCCTCTTCCCCACCTTTCACTCCTTTGTCCCTTTCTTCTGACCTCCCTTTAAGATTAGAATTCTGACCAGAGTGTTCCACAGGAGCAAATTAATCATCTATAATCCAGTGGCTTGGGAGGCTGAGACAGGAGGATCTCGAATTCAAAGTCAGCCTCAGCAAAAGCAAGGTGCTAAGCAACTCAGTGAGACCCTGTCTCTAAATAAAATACAAAATAGGGCTGAGGATGTGATTTAGTAGCCAAGTGCCCCCTGTGTTCAATCCCGTGTACTCTGCCCCCACCACCACCACCAATTTAATCATCTGTAGCCGCATGATATAGATAAGGAGCGAGTTAGAGTCTAGCAAGCATGAAACCTTGCACCCAGGCCAGGTGCTGGGGCAGAGTGAATGACATAGATAAAGAGGCAGACACCAAAGACCTAGCTGTGTGTTGAAGGACATGAGAATGTTTGAAGAAGACATAGGTAGCAGGTGATGCTGGGAAGCTTTGTGAGACAAATGAGGAATAGGGTGGCAGTCATCACTGGGGTCAGGTGACCCAATGGCCCTCACTAGGGAGTCTGTCCTTTGGTGGCCAGAGAAAAGAGGCTTCAACATGAACAGGGAAGCATTTGGGTATCTTGCTCTGCGTGTCCTACCTCAGTGCATTCTTGACTGTGGTAAGAGGAGGAGGACCTGCTTGCTGAAGCTGACCCTCCTCCAAGACCCCAGCCACTATTCACTGCCCCCCCCACCACCCATAGTTCCACTTTGCACTAAGTGACCTGTTTATTTTCTGGAACAAGGCTCTTTTTATTTATTTGTTTAACTCTGAGAACACATTTTGTTGGAGAAGAGAAAAAGGGAAAGGTCAAGTTACTCATTAATCTCTCTCTTATCTACTCAAGTCTCCAGTTACACCATACTTTCTAGAGCCCTACAGAGCAACCACTACAGAGGGAATAAACGCTTCTAAGAGCTTGTAGTTTATATGAGATGCCAGCATTCTGATTATCAGCATATAAGTTCTTGGTGGTTCAGTTTTCCTCTGTTGCTGTCATCTAAACAAATATATCCTCTATTTCCGTGTCCCTCCTTGACAAGGTATTATAAAGCTGAGAAACCTCCAATTACCTTTTGGCAGGAAAGGAGCCAGTCCACTTCAAGAGAATAAGATCAGAGGTTCACGAACTCTGAAGTGACTTCACAGAGAAGCACATGTGTGCACCTGAAGACGCCTTAGCTGTCCCAGGGTCCAGCAAAACTCCACCTCTTAGTCTGCGTTCCTCTCACCCCTCACCCTCTTTCCTGTGCTGGAAGCACACAGCATCGAGTCAGGGGACAAGACGGTAGATAGGAAAAACTGTTTCCATCATTTAAAGGAAGAAGCTGCTTTCTAGGAGTTCTAGTTTAAAAGTCTGTCGTTTTCCTTTCTTATTTTAAAATGTTCATGATATGGAATGAGCTCATTATAGAGAATTTGGAAAATACAGAAAGATAGGAAAATTAATGAGACATGTTCATATTAATGTCACACATCACATTATCTGCCAGTCATTTTCTATATATGTTTCTTTATACAAACACATATATTTTGATTTATTAAATAGAGCTCTACGTAGCGACCACTACAGAGGGAATAAACAGATTCCCTCTGTATTTTATAGAGCAGAACCTACTTCTTTAAATAAATTGGAGTAAAGTACATGATATATCAATTTTCATCTCCTCTAGGGAAGAAAAGCAATTTTTTTCTTCACTGGAAAGGTGCTAAATGATTATGGTGGAGAACCGTCAAGACTGCTCAAAAGAATTATCTAGAAAAAAAAATGAAACTCCAGATATTTTCTAAGTTCTGTCTCAAAAACCCACTTTGTAACATGTTCTGAATAAAAGAAAAATTTCAAATTAAATAATAATTATTATAAATGTAACTAGTTTACTAGGATACCCTAGGTTAACTTTTAAAAGCACGACTTTTAAGAATTTATGAGTCAAGGGGTACTAAGTTACACTCGGGAAGAGTAAACTCTGGTTTTCTATTTCACAGCAGGGTGACTGCAGATCTAAAAAAGCTAGAAGAGGGCTGCCTTGTGGCTCAGTGGTAGAGCACTTGCCTAGCACATGCAAGGCCCTGGATTCGATTCTCAGCACCACATAGAAATAAATAAATAAAGGTATTGTGTCCAACTAAAAAATAAATATTAAAAAAAAAGCTAGAAGAAAAGATTTTGAATGTTTTCACTACAAAGAAATGATAAATGTTTAAGAAGACATGTATGTTTACTTTGATTTGAATATTATACAGGATGTACATGTATCCAAATATCACATGATACTTCATAAATGTGCAGTTTTTGTGTGTCAGTTGTTTTGAAAAGAACTTTATCAAATCGATAATCATGCATTGAAGGCTGGGGTTGTGGCTCAGCCGTAGAGCACTTGCCTAGCACTTGCAAGGCCCTGGGTTCCATCTTCAGCACCACATAAAAATAAATAAATAAAATAAAGGTAATGTGTTCAACTACAACTAAAAAATAAATGTTTTTTTAAAAAATAATCATGCATTAACATCTTAAAATCAGTATCCCTGTACTTTCAGCCATTCTACATCTTTATAGATCAGAAACTTGTTATGATATTATTTGCTATGATAATGATCTCTGGAAACTATCAGAATATTTGTGAATATTGAGTAATATCTTTGAATCTAACTATCACTAATTTCTGGGTAATTCTGTGTTTTAATCGCTGCTTTAAATTTCTATTTTACCACATTTACTTTGACACCAATATAGGGATTAAGGGAGACACCAACTTGAATTTCAACTTAAAATATTGCAAGTTTGAAAAAAAAAAACCAGCATAAGCAAAGTCCACTGACTATATATATATATATATATATATCTGTGTATGTGTATGTATATGTTTGTGTGTGTATATATATATATATATATATATATATATATAGTATAACTATCTATATTGACTACATACAACTTATACCATACACAAAGGGTAATTGCCTTATTATTTAGGAAGTTCTTAAAAATTAAAAATGGCAACCAACTCTCCCCACTAAAAGATGGGCAAATAATATATGGCCAGGTCACCAAGAAAACAAGTGTAACTAGTCTGCAAATTTTCAAAATGATACTCAATGGTGGGTGTTTGCTCAGTTGGCTCTTTAGTTCTCTATTATTTCTTAGAATTTGAAGAAGTAGATTTCAAAGGAAGACTAGAAACTAAATGAGAATTAGCCTTTCTTAGAATTACTATTTTCCATTCCAAGAAAGCAATTCTGTGTGTTGTTTTTTTTCTAAAGTGGAGTGGACCAGTGAGCCATGGGATTAATAAATTTTTGATGATTCTTTTTAATTGCAAGAAAGCCATGAGTTTTTTTTTTCTATTACATCAATTATCATAGGGAATACTACATATACTACGAAAAATGCCTCATTGCCTAACTTGTATTGTTAAGTAATTCTGTTAACCTCTGGCCTTACATTTTTCATCTAAAACAGCAGCTGGGCCAATTACTCTACAAAGCTATTAATGTCTGACATTCTTTGTTTTGTTTACTTAAAAAAATAGAATAAATATGAAATGTAATGTCATTTAAATCTATGACATTTGAATAAAATTTTCACTGTTAAAATGAGAAAAGAATAAAAGATTTATCTTTGCAAATCTACTTATGGAGTATAATTTGTAGTATACTTGTCTTTTCTAAGGCCTGCAAAAGTTAAAGTAGACTGAAGTGAATGTGTGTTCCTTCTGAGAAATGCCGTTCTTTCTGTACTTGATTGCTTCCAGAATTCCCATGAGGGAATAGCCTACCACACTCACACTCTTTCAGGTAAGAGAGAAGAAAATCAGACACAATTGCATATGAAGGTCAGTCGACTGGCAGGTGCCTGCTGGGTGCAAATAGAGGCCTGATGAACCTTACCCCAACTTCCAAAAAGCATAGTGTAGATATACTAATTAAGAGGCAAAGAATCATCTCATATCTTATATTTTAAAAAAGAGGTTGGCAAACATTTAATGACATCCCTCTATCATCACTCTGTCTGCTCACCCTTTTGAAAGGATATCTGTACATAGTCCTTAACCTTATCTATTCCTCTGCTGACCCCTAAGTCTTCCATTCTCTCCTTTCCTTGTGTCTTTGACAGTTTGACAAAATCTTTAGGGGGAGCTGGAGGAACCACTCATGTTTAATTTCCTACTTCCTAATTGGAAGCTTTGACTCTTGACATCTATCGCTGTCAGAGCCTCAGGAAGTTCACTCTCCTTTTGAATTCAGTTACTGAAACAACCCCAAGGCAAGGCTAAGGCATGGATAGAAACTCTACTTTACAGGTAAACTCGCAATGCCTGATTTAGGAAAGTTTATTTTGTGTGCAGTTTATTACCTCACTCCATTTAGAGACAAATCCCACTTTATTTTCTAGTGTCTAAAATATTAAAAATCAAAATCTCTCAGAACTTCCCCAGCATTTGGTCAACTAATTCTAGTGGAAAACTGGCAAAGATGTATTAAATGCATTTGACAGCAAGACGCCTTTATTTCCTACAGTATGTATTTCCTACTATGAATCTTGGCACTGGAGATATTACAAGAAATCTTTATCCCTGACTCTTGGAAATTGTCCAGAAAGATAGGAAACAAGGCCCCAGACTTTTCAAATGGAAGCTCAGTTGGGCTCAAATCAAAATAAGCTTTTTAAAAAATTGGTGTGGAAGTCTTCAAGTATATTAAGAAAGGCCTAAAGAATCCCAGGGATAGAACTTTTACTGACTGAAACAAAGTTTCAATAAAACTGTAATCCTTAAATATTGCACCTGAAACTAGAATAATAAACACTAGCTAAATTGTTTCTCCTATATTTTTAATTTGTTGATAAAAAAAAGAAATCTTACTTCCAAGCCTGGAAATAAATAGGTAATTTTTAATATTTATTGTTGCAGACAATAATAAATTTTCTGTTTTCACAAACAAGTTCTGACATTGAGCCACAGAACATTACTGTCATATAGCTCACAACTGTAAATATTAACAGAAGTAACAAGTCCTGCCTCATTGAGTTTCCTATTCACTGTCTCCTTACTTATACCTCCTTTAATTGCCACCAAGAAATGTCTGGATTTTATATTCCAAAATATTCAGGCATTTATTTTATATAATACCTCCAGACTTAGTGTCTTGTGTGATTTAAAAAGTTTTGTTATTCTGGCAAGAAAAGAAAATTCCAAGGCTTGGTGAATCCAGAGAGTTCTCAGGACATCTCAGATACAGAACTGTGTTAAATATACCTCAGCTCTTGTTATTCCAGAGGACCATTTGAGGTTTGTACCGTGAGCTTTTTTTTTTCTTCACCTGTTGTCACCTCAAACCTGTGCCATACAGGTTTTACCCCCACCATTCTATGCATAAAACTGTCCTTGACACATCTTGACACATAAGGATATAGGTTGGATTTTTTTCTTTAGTCAGCCTTAGTAACAAACAGAGGGACCTTGTCTCAAATAAATTTTTTAAAAGGCTAATTTATTTTTACCTTATTCCAAGTGTAAGATAGGCTCAATATAGAAAAATTAGAAAGTTGAACAAAGAAAATGAAATACCTATGATCCTTTTACCTATTGTTACCTTTGGTATATTTCTACCTTGTCTCTTATGTGTATCATTATGTCATTTTTGGTTTTTATGAAAGGCATATTCTGCTTTTGTATTAACCAATACATTAATTTCTCACATTGATATTCTTTCACAATGTTTGCCACCTAGAATTTCATCACATAAAGGCACCTACTAATAATTCTTTAATACTTTTGCTGGATACGTATGAGTTTATACTTTTCCATAATTACAAACTGTTGTTCACAGCTCTGATGATTTCTTTGGGATAAATTCTGAGTAAGAAAGTCATGTCACCTTTAAGACTTATCAAACTGAAGTGTTAAGTGTTGATCTCCCTATGGGTTCATTCAAACTTTGTCAGTTTGAGAGGAAGAAAATTTCGTTTGTTCTTTTAATGCCACTTCTGTTAGTTTTTCTTTTACCTTTCATCCAAGTTTTCTCAGGACCCTTCAGATCAATCTTGCTCATTCTTAATTTTCCAGCATTGTGCTAGAGATTATTTCAACAAAAAAATTTTGCCCTTTATCTTCTTCTCCTAAGTAATTCCTACTCATCCCAAATCCTATCACACTCATTCCTTCCAGGAATTTTACACTTATCCTGTTCTTTCCTTTTTCATGCATGTATATTTTGTCTCCCATAAAACATTTAGTTATGTTAGCAGGCATGGCGGCACACTCCTGTAATCCCAGCAGCTCCGAAGGCTGAGACAGGAGGATGACAAGTTTAAAACTAGCCTCGGGAACTTAGTAAGGCCCTAAGCAATTCAGTGAGATCCTGTCTATAAATTAAAACAAAACAAAACAAATCAAGAAAGGTCGAGTGGGGAGTCTGGTGATGTGGCTCAGTGGTTAAGCGCCCCTGGGTTCAATCCCTGGTACCAATAACAACAACAAAAAAATAATTTAGTTGTTCTAGGACAAGGGTCCCTTAGAGTCCCGATATGCTAATAACAAAGAGATGCTTAATATTTTACTTTCCCCTGGGTTTTCTCAAGGAAAGAGGAGGAAGAAGAATTACCTTAGGGATTGAGGGTGCCGGGGTCAAACCTGTGAGATTTTTGGAGAATGAAGAGAAGGCCCTGAGGGAATTTAGCAGCAGGCATTTAAGCAAGGAAGACTCGAAGTATTGTTCCTAATAAAGCCTGATTAATGCCAGACACAGAGTAAGGGCCCAGGCAGTGCGGCAGCCTAAGGAGCAGCAGGATAAGTCCCAAGGGGTGCTGGCCCCACAGTGACTCGCCGCCCGAGCTCTAGATTTCTATTTATAGGTCGCTGTGTTTTGTTCTTCAGGCCTGAGTGGCCGGAAATGATGACAAAGCCAGCAGTTAGTTCCTTTTCCACCCTTCCACCGTGAGGTGGTAAACAGTTTACGAAGGCGGCGGTGAGACAACTCTTTCCCGCCATCCAGCGCCTGGAGAGTGGTCTGCAGAGGACGCAGCCAGAGCGCGGTGAGGCTCTGGTGGAGCTGAGTGCAGCTGATAACCCTGGTATCGGTCCAGCCGGGAGCACCCCGGGTCCCCTGGAGGCCCTGGAGCAAAGCGCGCCGAGACCCCGCCCTGATGTCGCCGGATAGGCGCAGTGGCTCCGCCTCCAGTCACTTCCGACTGGGGCGCTGGCCCAGCCACGCCCACTTGTCTGGCGGCCCTGCACACTTTGTGAATTTGGGGATTGTTGCGTATGACAACCGGGCTCAAAAGGGACTCCCCTGCTTGGCTGGCACTGTTTTCCTGTTCATCTTCTGAAAGGTGATGGTGTCTTCCGCGCCCTGCACGGCGCTTCCCCGCCGCGGAAAGAGTTCCTTTACTTTACAGCGGTGCCTACTAGGGATCTTTCTAGCGACTTTGGCATTCCTGCTGTTTACACTCTCAGGTAAGAGCCTGAAGAGGTTGCGCACCTCGACAAAGAGGCTGGAGCTTGGTTTGGGGGCCGTGGGTATGGGTGGACCTGCGGTTGACTCAGGTTGGGGTAGAGGATGCGGCCAGGGTTTTCCTAGGGATGGTGCGTTAAGCGCTTCCAGGACGCGCACTCGGGCTGGGCACTGTGGCGACCCTGCTGCGCAAGAAGTGAAGCCCTGTTCGCGCGGTTGGAGCGGTGCCTGAGCGGCGGAGGTTCGCCCAGGGTCTAGCTGTGGCCCTAGCAAACACTCGCCGAGTTTCCGGGGTTGAGCCAATTCTGGATGAGGAGCGCACATGGGAGCTCCAGGTGAGGTGTCTAGAATGCTCAGGTGCAAGGAGGTGTGGCTAGGGTCCGTGCTGTGCCGGGGTGGGGGGGGGTGGTTAGAGTTTGCCGGTGTTTCCTGCACAGGTTAGTGCCTTGGAGAAAGGGGCTGCTCTTTTGGGTATCGCTGTAACCGCAGTAAGAGTTGCAGGGTGTCTGCGGTGCCTAAAGGAGCTGAGCTGTGGGACACCTGGCAGGAGACCTGGCGGGACATTGTTCAGTGTGTTATGCAAAAGTGGCTTGCTCTGCAGTGCCAAGGTAAGCTCACTGTTTGGCTCTGGGGAGGGTAGGTTGCCCTGCTTTTGCCGGGTGAGAGCAATTTCTCAGTGTCTGAGTTTAGAGGGCTGGGAAAGGGCGCACGATGTGAAACTTTTTTGTTGCCCTACACAGAATTGGTCTTGGTGTACAAGTGGATGGGTTTTTTTTTTTTAATTTCAATTTCTTTTTTAGTTGTAGATGGACACAATACTCTTATTTATTTACTTACTTACTTATTTATTTAATGTGGTGCTGAGGATCGAACCCAGTGCTGTTAAGGGGAGACACCTCAGAAAGCACTCTTAAGTTGGAATTTAAATTAAATTTAAAAAGAGAGCTTTATTTACCTGGCCAGGGACTGTCACCTACTGCAGAGACTCAGGCTCTGTGGGAGGACAGTCCCTGGCCAGGTAAATAAAGCTCTCTTCTTTTGATTTAAAATTCGGACTTAGAGTGCTTTTTGAAGTGTCTCCCCATAACATTTGGTGCGCTGGCCGCGAAAAGAAGAGATATTTATTTCTTGTCCCATAAATGGGACAACGCTCAGAAATACCCAGGAGACCCAGTGGGCTGGAGACAACCTGGGGACGAGTCCTCTCCTCATCGGCTCCTGCCAAACCTGCAGACTGCCTATTTGAGAGCACTTAGTTCTCCAGGGAAAGGTAAGCTTGAAACTTAAAACTTGGTTTGTGTGGATCCACAGTCTGGGGACATCAGGGAAGGCTGGACGCAGCACATACTTCCTGGTCCAGGGCAGTGTCCATCCAGATGTCCTTCACTGGCCCATCTGGGGTTAAAAACCCTATCTAGGGGCTGGGATTGTGGCTCAGCAGTAGACCGTTAGCCTAGCACAGGTAGGACCAGGGTTTGATCCTCAGCACCATATAAAAATAAAGGCATTGTGTTGTGTCCATCTACACCTAAAAAATAAATATTAAAAAAAACCCTATCTAAATCTCTGGTCAGTTAGGTTTGTTTATGGTGCCTTGTCTGTTGTGTGTCTCACTGTTGGTCTCAGTCTCATTATGAGTCAAAGTCAGTCCACTTCATTTTGTACACCCTTAAATGTTTTTTTTTTTTTTTTTGGTCTTAATTTAAAGAGTTTTCTGAGAAGAGGAAGCATCACAGGATGTTTTATCACTAGTTTCTTGTGGTGTGAACTGATAAATACAATCAATAAGAGTGTAAGTAATAGGTTATAGATTAGTAAAAAATACAGATTATAGGTACAAGATTTTGATAAGTGAAATAAGACAATTATAAAGCAAGAACTGGCATAGGCAGCCCTAAGACTCCATTTTGCTGCGTTCTATAAAAACTGTTACAAGAGCTGTTTCTGAGAAACTGAAATGAAAGCTGTTTTCTTATTTTAAAAAATTGTCTTTCTGTACTTTGTACCCTACAAATTGTACCCTACTCAGGATGCAGTGGTGGTCTTGGTGAGCTACATCCTGGGTTTGAAAGCCCTTGTGGGTCTACATGACTTTGAAGTCGATTCTCACCCTGCTGACCCCCGCCCAAATTCAATTATGTGACTGTTTAGCACCTGCTTGAACCCAGGACTGTGGTCAACTGAACTGCAAAGATAATGCTATTTTAGCTTCTGTTCATCACATGCTTGCTGGCTGGTCCTGCCTAGAGCCCACAGGTCCCACTTATCAATATTTTAATTTCTATGATTGGCTAGCTTACATGACGATAAGCAAGTCACTGAGTTGTGGGTTTTGTGCTTCTATATTTCTTTGGATGGACCGGGAAGCTGCTGTCCTCCCACAGAGCTTGAGTCTCTGTGGTGAGTGACAGTCCCTGGCCAAGTAAATAAAGCTCTCTTTTGATTTAAAATTCGGACTTAGAGTGCTTTCTGAGGTGTCTCCCCATAACAGTGCCTCACACAACCCCAGCCCCAGATGTTTTGGTTTTTGTCTATGGAGTTATTTTCCTGTTCCCAACCAATACGGATCGTATTAGATATTATAACCTAATTTTTTGGGGGGATGGGGTGATTGTTTCCCTTATAGGGTCATGGTTCAGAGGAGCAGTCTACAAAAACATCACTAGCCAAACCTAGTGGGAAATTAGTATCCTCACCAACAGCTCAGTAACTAAAGATGAAGGCCCATTCCGCTGTTTGTTGTGCCTTTCATTGAATAGAATAAATACTTTTTTCAAAATATATGCTTGCCAGGTGCAGTGACACACTCATATAATCCCCGCCGCTGGCAAGATTGAGGCAAGAGGATCACTAATTCAAGGCCATCCTCAGTAGTTTAGTGAGGGAAGCCTAAGCAATTTAGGAAGGTCCTGTCTCAAAGAATTCAAAAAAGGCTGGGGGTGTGGCTCAATGGTTAAGCATCCCTAGATTCAATCTCTGGTGTATATATATAGAGAGGGGCAGGGCAGAGAGGTATATGATTATTGTATAAAGTTTACACAAAATTAACCATTTTTTGTATCTCCTGTTTTTTAATACACTTTGTGTGTTTCTATACCCATGTTCTATGTAGGATCCTATTACATATACAGCTTGTATGCTGCATTTCTTTACTTAGCAGCATTCATTGAACAATATTTGACTTCTAGGTTGGTTCCAAGTCCTGTGCTGGTCCTGAGGTCATACTGGTAGGCAATAATAGGCCATGCCTATTGTCATGGTCCTTCTTTCATTAATTGTTTACACATATATAAGTGCACAAAGCAGGGACTTTATTTTACTGTTATATCTCCAGTGACAGACACATAGTAGGCAATCTATAAATATCTGCTAAGATGTATTGGAAGTAACAGACATTAACCAATGAATAATACTAATGCATAGATTACAAACCAACTGGAGTGCTCTAGAGGAAAGGAGCATGCTTCCCTGCACTTAACAAGTGACTAGAGGGAAGGTGACATTTCTGCTCATCAAATAGGCCGAAGGTCTTCACTGTATAATCTAAGGCTGTGTCTTATCCTGCAAACTCAGCTGGACTGTTAACACCCCTCAGAGAGACCTTCCCTGACTACCGTGTTTCTGGTACACACATACCAGTGCAAATGCCTCCTAAATTGTAATCACCCTTCTAAAATTTTCTATTCTCTCCCCCCACCATTAGAAGGCAGAGAGATGTTATCTGTCTTATAACATTTTTTTGTTCCAAATGGCCAATTTTTTGATTCAGTATCAATATTCATGAAATACTAAAAAAAAAAAAACCAACAAAAACTAAGTTTCCTATTTGGTGAGGATTTAAGTGCACAAGAAAAATTCCTCCTGTCTGCAGGAGAAAAGTTCTTTAAAGAACCATGGGTGAGCTGGTCCTTCTGTGGAGCTAGGACAGGGGCAGCTGAGGGTCAGAAAGGACCTGCCTTCCCCTATATATAGGCTCTCCAGGGCTCCTAGTACTCCAATCTTGCTTCTTATTGATCACTAAAAAGTTCATTTCAAAAGGGAGAGAGGCGAATCAAGCATAGTGATGTTAGAACACAAAAGGAATTATTTTTTTAAGAATACACTTTTAAAAATAGGCTTTAAATTCAAAGTTTAAGAAAATGATGGAAGCTATTTGAAACACAGGAAAATGAATAAGTAAAATGAATAGAGTGTAACAGGAAAAGTAACAACACTGAAACTTGGAAAACCAAGGTTAAGTGTATGGTTGCCAGGTAAAGTCAAGATTGTTGAACAGAGAGCTCACTGCTGGGCAGGGAGAAGAAGTGGGTAAAATGAGTTATCATTTAGGGAGCAGCTCACTCTTTCATGAGGAGAAACATTTATAATTAGATAGTGGTGTGCATGGGAGTCCTAACACCTCAAAGGCGGCTGTCAAATGGGAGAGATTGCAGAAGGGAGCATTTGTGCAATTTCAGAAAGAAAAAAAAATTGGGAGACCAGTCTTCTTCCTCCAGAAGTGGAGCTGCTTTTTCAGAGAAAACCCACAATCTCCTGTGATGCATGGTCTCATCTGCCTATTTTAGGCATTTTTCTTCTTTCCAATTAAAGAAGCCAAGAGCAATAGTATTTGTCTGGCAGTTTCTTGGTTTTCCTACCCTGCATGCTACAGTGCTAAAGGAGCAGTGTTCATCTGGTCATCAGCTAGGAGATGGGGCAGAAAACTGGGAGACAGACAACAAAAGAAATGGCCAATTCTCTGTTCTCCAGTGCATAAAACTTTAACATGATCATTTTCAATAATAAATGTGTTCCAACATATTCTTGATCATTGTTTTGTGTCTGGTAGCAGTGCTACTATGACTAACCTTTTTTTTTTTTTTTAACTGCTACTTTGAAGGACATGTGCTAGATGTTGTGACCCTATGGATGAATACAGCTATTCATGCTGTTACAAGAGCATGTGCTAGTTACCTGAGAGAGATCCATATACAGGAGAGTCCAGAGGAAGGCAGCCAGTTAC